TGCGACGATTACTGAGAATCGTCGCATATGTTTGAAGTTAAATTGGATCTTAAACTCATTGCGACGTTTTTGGTACAATAACGTCGCAATACTGCGACGAAACTTGAATCGTCGCAAATAAAATCGTCGCCAGAGTGCAGTTTTGGCCTAGTGTAAGTTGGTGCAAGGTCCTAGGATCGAATCCTGGCAACCGCAGTGTGGGAATTTCAACTCCAATGAGGGTTGGCTCCTTGTGGGCACCAGGTCCGATCCGGGTGGCCGTTGAGTTCCCTGGGATTTCGCTTTTTATGCTGTTTACCCTTAATTTTATCTATAAAAGAAAGAAACGATAGGACAATCCTAAGCAACCCAAAAACTATTTTTTCAATTATTTGTTTGAAATATTTTTTTTGTCCACTAATTTTGTAATTATGAAAAATTCAAACCAAACTGTGTAAAATACTTCCAATGTTAATCTCGTATTTTTCAAGATACATCTTTAATTATATTTAAACTTTTGCTTTATTCATTGTTTCATTTATTTAACGATCAATTTCAGTTTGCGACAATTAAGTTTATATAATATTTTGCGGAATTGGTTTGTATTCTCAGATTTAATTAAATGTTGATACTGCTACTATAATTTAAATATCACTCATAATTTTTTAATTGGGTAAATTACAACCACCTCCTGAGCTATAGTCAAATTACGAAAACCCTCTTCCTGTTTGGATAATTACAACCACCCCCTCAACTTCTCAAATTTAGTGGGTCGAGATTATATGGAATATTATCACTTTTGTACCCATTTTATTTCATTCGAACTCTACATTTTGAAGCAAGATGATCATAATATGTGTTTTTTGGCTTGTATAAATCAGATTGTGGTGCATAAGAAACTGTATTTTTACACAAAACGAGTACAATCTAGAGCACATTCCACGATATCTAGATGAATATGTTGAATTTGACATCATAAGGGTGGATGTGTAAGAAAAAAAACATAGTTGAGGAGGTAGATGTAATTATCCAAACAAGAGGGTTTTTTTTTTATAAATTGACCATACCTCGGAGGGTATTTGTAATTTACCCTTTATAATATAATTGTACCATATATTTTCTGAAAATAATAAATTTTTGCTTTGCAGACAAATACCAGTATATAATAAGAAAAGTTGGAAGCTCTGTTTTACCATAAATCCAAAGATAAATATGATTAATTACCAATAAACAATCATCATTAAATAGCACTAATTAAACAAATAATAATGAATAATTAAATTAATTAGTGAGACCGGCGGTGAACTTAACACCAGTGGCGGGCAACCAAGAAACCCCATCAAGAAACCGGCCAACAGTGAAAAACCCAGCAGTGGAAGCATCGCCAATAATATGATAACCCGGCCATTGAACCCGACCCGAAGTGGACGACCCGGGTCCGTAATTCCTATACTCACCGTACCAAAGAGTGCCCAAACCAAAATCACCATACCACTCGAGCCAGCCTCTGGGCTGCACCATCGAGCTCATGTAAGTATTCATGTATACGGTCCTCGAATACTGCTTCCACGGCCGCCCTAAGTACGTGGGGCGCGTGGCGTACACGTAGCTGTCCTGGATAGTGAACCCGGTGCTCTGATGTGGGTCCTTTCTCCCCTGTGCTGTGATGGTCACCTTTTGGAGGGGCAGTGGGTCCCTTGTGAATATTTTGCAGTTTTGGAGTACGGCTGCCCCGTTTCCGAAGATGAAGTCGATTGTGCCGGAGATGGTGCATTCTCGGTAGAATTGACGGAGCGAGTGCGCGTAGAGTGTGTCTTGGTGGCCTTCGAAGCTGCAGCGGTAGAACGCTGATTGGTCCGAGTCGACACGGATGGCCACTCCTTGGTGCTTTTCGGGGCCCGCTGTGTTGCGGAATGTTATGTCCCTTGCGATGAATCCCTTCCCCGATACGGCTGTCAGAAAGCGGTGTCGGGATTTAGTTAGCTAAGGCCTCGTTTGGTTGCTAATAAAAGATTAGCCAATAGAACATTGAATAATCTAATGAAACTCAACTGTACTATTAAACCTTGGAAAATCCAATAAAAAAAATATGCTTAGAAGGCAAGATAAGCCATGTCGATAACATAATATTTGGACAAGTAATTGGACATCAAACATTAAACAAAATTTGATTATTTAGGATATAATAAATTACCAAGCGTAGCTGTTCGAAACGTAGTCCATCCTTGCATGAAATTCCGATTACCGGTAATAATAGTCTTCCCAATTCCATCACCCACAAGCATGATATAACTCTTCTTCTTCTTCATATCTATATTCTCCTGGTAAACACCCTTCTTCACATATATCACATACCTTCTTTTACTATAACTCGGAGCCTCAAATATCGCTTGCCCTATCGAACGATATTTCCCACTTCCATCCAACGCCACCACCGAATCAACATGCATTCCATTATTATTATTCGATCTTTCCGAAACAAGAAGCTCCTTATCTCCATCCGTCATCCATTTCGGGAAATCTCTGCCATCTCCATTTTCATCACCATTATTATCATCATCATAATTAGTTGTTGTGGCATTAGTGTAGTTTCTTGGCGGTCTGAAAGGAAGCCTGTGCATTTGTACATACAACGTTAGCACGTTGCCGATGAGTTGAGTTACTTGTGATACACTCCCCCTTACAAACCGCTCGAGGCGTCGGTCGGTGCCCTCAAACCCTTCAAGGCAAGTATCTTGGTTGCTTAGGGCAGCGCTAAGCCAAGCCTTGAGGTTTCCGTCCGACTGTGGGTTCTTCGAACCGGCACGAATCTTGTTCATTTCGGACAAGGACCATGTTAGTTCGGAAACAGAGAAGTCTAGGAGCTCTTTGCAGTCTTCAATGGCGATTTGCTCTCGGTAGCTTATGGATAAGGTGTTGAATGTTGAGATGGTGTCGATGGCTAACATTGCCTCTTTGATCGTGTTTTGGAGGGCCGCTTTGAGTACCGTTTGAGGTGTGTGATGGTCGTGGCCTTCAATTCGCGATTGCATGTTTGAGAGGCACGAGTCTTGATTGTCGATTTTCTCGCATGCTCGTAGCATCATGGATTGAAGGGTTTGGTTTTGATCTATGCCATGGGAGATGTGGATAAAGTGAGAGGATGAGAATACTAGGATTGAAATAATTAGGAGGAAATTGGCAATAGCCATTGATATGTAATTATTATTTAGTGCTATGTGTGTGTAGTTGTTTTTTTTGGAAGAGATTTATATATTTATGTTACGTTGTCAAGAATGATGGGATTGCTTGTGATGGATGAAAATGAAGTGAAAGGAATGTTTTCTTGATGTGGATAGAAAAAATATACTTTAATTTTCCCTTTGGCAAAGTTCAAGTTATATATGCTCACTTTTGCTACATGTAAAACGTGATTCTCTTATCAATACATTTTTCTATATTCTGGCTGGACAACATATATCTTGTTGAATAAAATGAGTCAATGGTGTTTTTATTACAATTTGCCCACAAAATTATATTATATCAGATTGTCTTAATTATAAAATGAGTCGACGACGACAGTATTTTAGGCCATAACTTTCACATACGAACATCAATTGCCCTCATTCAAGTTGCATTGAAAACACGAGATCAAATTATGCAACTCCAATGACGTGTTTTTTGGGATTTTATTTGGAATCTTTATCTTACTGTTGACGACAGTATTGTAGGTTATAACTTTTGCATACCAATTTGTCCTGATTCGAATCTTGTGTTATAAATCCGACAAATAAACCTACAACTTTCATGTTTGTGAGATTCGAATTAAAAATCACTATATAATACAAATTTCATGATTTCTTTCGCTCGTAAATTTCTCATATGAACTTCTGATTCCATTTATTCAATTTGCGTCAAAAAACCACCATCAACACTGCAATTTTTGAAATTCATTTGGTCTCTTATTCTGAAATCAATGCGAAAACTTTTAAACAAAGAAGAGGGAAAGTTGTCATAATGTTTTTAGAAATAGGTTAGGAGCATTTTTCTGTGCACATAATCTGTTTTTAGGTGTTTGCAAAACAAGCTTTTGTTTTACTTCTCTTAAAATAAGCTGCTTTAAGCAGATAATTTTAAAAGCACTCACGTACCTGCCTTTTCTATTTTAGTTGATTTTCCAGCTCATTTGCAAACACCCCCAACTTTTAGAAATAAATACTTAATTTCAACTTAATTCACCATCAGTAACTTCTGCTTTTAAATAAACTTTTGCAAACACTACAATAATATTAGTTTTGATAGCCCTATTACCAATAACAAAAAAATGCAGGATTTCATATAACAATTTCTTACCATCTCACAATTGATGCATGAAGTTTCAAGGAATAAGTCCTGCTTTGTACAATTTATCTCCACCTTCCGCCTGTGAATAGTTCGAAGACGGTACACCTACAATCTGATCCTTCACATGGGACGCCGTTACCAACTCCGCATTCCAATACCAAGGTTGAACACTACTAATATACGAAGACAAAAGTGACGGACGACTAGTGTTATAAGACGACGGATGAAGAATAACGGAACTCCAATCTCTATCTCCAATCTTCGCTTCTCTTATTCTCCTCCTAACCAACAACTTTCCGACATCTTCTCTTTTCATTTCCGATACGGTCCTCACTATACAAACGCATATGAGTAGTACTTCGACTGCATCTTCTTCCGCCAAAACCTCCACCACCATTAGCTTCCAGTTCATAAGAGCAGTTGCTTTTCCCGTCGGGTTTTCATCCGTGTATCTAATTAACGTCACGAATTCTTCTTCTTCGTCTTCCGTTTTCCCATTATTATGATTATTATTATTAATTATGTCTTCTTTGACCTGATACTGCATTTGTCTCCCTTGCAAAAGCTTTACCTGCAATAGTTAAATGTTTTCACAACAGTCGCAACTTTTTTCAATCGACTTTTCTGGTTGGTTTTATATAATTCGAACGAGGTTTCCTCACCATGGGTTCAGAAGTAATTTTAGTTTGCAGATCGAATCTCAATTCTGAGATTGATTTTTTTGATGAGTCCCACTTTATTAACAGTTCGTTTCCTGACGAGAAGTTCCACAAAGCTTGGAACCCTTCCTTTGGTTCTTTCGGTGTAGCCGTTCCAACTACTTTCTCTGCACTAGATCGCACATGCAACCAAACAAAACACACAAATTAAATATTATAAATTAAAAATGATGAACACCAACTACATTTTTCTTATTTTATCCCAAAAAAAAAAATTCTATAGTGAAGTTACAACTGAGACACCTACAGTACAAGTATCTTAGAGGGTGTTTGGCTAAGCTTATAAGCCGTTAAAAACAACTTATAAGATGTTTAGGAGCTTATAAGCTCTTCCAAAGTGTTTTCTTTTTAAAAAAGTACATTTATCCCACCTTTTTATTTAAGATCGTCGGGAAAAAAAAAGTAAAAATAACTAATAATTATCATCCGAACACTTGAAAAATTAATTCTATAAATAAATCTAACATCTTATCATCTCTTAAAACAGCTTATCATAAGAACTGTCTAAAATAAGCTTAGCCAAACGAGCTCTTAATCTACATACCGGGAGATGTACCGATCGAACTGGAACCAACAACATAAGACCAAGATCCCTCGCGTATCTCTACAATCCTGTTCTCCCATTTGACAGCTGTAGGAATTTCGCCCCCTCTTCTCCAAAAACCACCCCCAACTCTGTCATGCAAAAAAAATAATAATAAATTATAACAATCGACAATATGTATAACAATCGACAATATGCAATAAAAAAATCCAGCTAATATTTTATTACCTGATTCGAACGACGAAACACTCTCTACCAGCATGATCAAGAACGGTACGAGACAACCACCTACCTTCTTGTGGGCGGTACTGATTCATTCTGAGAATGACATCGGAAATCATTGCACCCGAGTCATCTGTGACACGATCAGGCACGCATTTCAACAAGTATGATCCTTGCACAGGTGGAGTTATTGAAGCAACAGTAGTTATAGTCATCGCTCTTTGGTCCACTTTCTTCACCGATGTGAGAGAAGGTGCGCACAATATCTCGTTCCAAGAAAATGAAACGCTCTCTCGTAGCGAACTGCCTGTGGAGAATTTCCCACCACTTTGGCGTAGCTCGATTATCACCCCTTTGGTACCGAATTCGCTGTAGAGATGCCATGCTTTCTGCCACGACTCTGCGCTGAAATCGGACACTGGTTTTTCCATTTTGAGCTCTTTGTGACCTTTCACCATTCGGAGACGCAAAAAGTCTTTTTGAAGATCCTTTTTCATTTGCTTCTGATTTGAGGTTACTACTTTTACTGATATGCACACCTGACAATTTATAACTCCAAACTCTAAGGCCCTGTTTGGTTGCCAAGATAAGCCAAGATTAACTAAATAGTTGGACTTAATTTGATGTTTGGTATCCCCAATAAATTGTCGGGTCGACCCGCCAAAATTATGTAATCATGGCTTATCTTGCCTTCTAGTGTGTTTTTTTTGTTGGACGTCGCGAGCTCCAATAAAATAATTGGGTTTCACTAGACTATTTAATCTTATCTTGCCAACCAAACGGGACCTAATGATTTAATTAATATGATAAATCACTAGACCCTATATATACTTTAAGCATCGACACACTAGTGAAGTTAATGATGGTCGGTATTACGAAACTTTCACAGTCAACAAATATCAGAGAAATATAACGCATTCTTGATCTTTTTGGACGTCATTCATTTTGAAAACTTATTTTGTATAATTTAAAAACGGTATAATAAATGAAAAAGACAAACCTCAAATAAGAACCTGGGAGCCATGGAGTTGTATATTGTGTTGACATCAGCATTTGTTACGTCCCAGTAAAAAGGTGGTTCGTTTGAAATAGGCCGAGCAATGGATGCACCTGCTTTCTCAAATGGTTGATCGAAAGTTCTCTCCCAAAGCCTTTTGGTTTTTTCTATGTATTCTTTCTGCTCGATTATTTTCTCCACATCTCCATCCAACTCTTTAATATCCGTTGCATATACTGTTGGATAGCTCTATTGAATATAAAAATGGTATTTATCATTATATATACAAAGAATAATCATGCATTATGCAAATAAAGAATCGGCAAAAGTTTTGACATATAAACCAAGAGCGCAATTGCTCCCCGATAATGAAATGTTTTTCTTATTTAATATGATTAAGAAAGACAATGTATATTTTTTTTCCATTGAAAATATGAGGTTAGAGTTCGCAAAAATCTATATTTTGATCAAGGATTTTGTTTTTTATGTTCATATATTGCATAAATTTATCCAGTCATACATTTATACGGTACTTGTGTGTATACAAATGATATCCATTAACGGAGTTTAATAGTTAATTATATGATTTACCATCTTCTGCTTGAATGACATGAATGCAAAAAGGAACTTGAGAAACGGAACTAAATAATTTCTCAACTGATTTTAATGGCTCATTAAAAACCACGTCCTCGTCAAAATTTCCTAAATTGTTTTTCTTATAAAAATAAATTAGGATAAAAGCATGTGTCAAAAGGAAACAAACAGAGAGACAATAGGTACAAAAGTTAGATAACAATTGTGGTTTCACATGCACAAGAACTCATATGCTCCATGTGATCCTCTAATATTCAAATACAAAGAATCTTTGACAATATTCTATATCACAAATACCCCACTAAATAAATACTTCATATGCAGTAAACTTCAATAAATCCACAACAACTACCAAAATCTTGTCCCTCTTTTCTATTCTTATTAATTTTTTTTTTTGGTTAAATAAATAATCACACATTTATCGTCACAAGTAATAGCATGTATACTCCAAAAAAATAAGGAGTTTATTGCAAATGGTACCCATGTGTTATATCGAACTGCTAACAAACTACCCGTGTTATTTTCTTGGCAAAAATCCCCCGGGTTGTGTGCTAAAAACAAATTGAATCATAGGGGAGATTTTGCCAATAAAATAACATGGGCTGGGTTTTTAGTAATTTTATATAACATAGGGGTAGTAATTGCAATAAAATTGAAGAAAAAAAAGAAAGAAAAAATATAGAAAAGCACCTGATGAGTGATCCACATTAAAAGAACATCTGAAGTGGGAGCTAAGAAAGAAGATTGATCAGAAAATTTATGGACCATATGAAGAAAAGCTTTGTATCTCTCCTTAGCCGCCACTAAATAAACCATCTCCGAATAATACGGCTCCGAAAAGAATCTTATGTGAAGATCCCTTTGCTTAGACATTTGATCCAACAATTCTTCACTACAAACAGATGCATCGTATTCCAAATTAATGTCTGCTTCATTTTCAAAAGGCTCCGATATTGGGAATTTGTTCTCCCATATTTCTCTGCATCTGTTCAACGCGTACTCTTCGTTTTCTTTATCAAATATAGCTGGTTTACCTATTAGTTTCGAGAATTTTGACTCGCAGTACTGCCTGTAACTACCCTGCAAAATTGAATGTTTAATTGTTTTTTTCAAATTCATGTCAAACATAAATTAAATTAAATAAATAAATAAAGGGATATATATATATATATTACCGGATTGAGAGTATGGCAATACCAAACCCATTCGATATCAAGAGGTGGGAGAATCATTGGAGGTTTAGAGGTTGTTGTAAGATCAGCAATTAGTGGCATCCATAGCTTATCATATCTGTACAAAATTCATTAAATTTTAATAAATTTCAGAGAAATTAAGTTTAATTTTAATTTTAATTTTAAAATATGGTAAATTAATAAATAAACAAACCTTCTAATGGATTCGAGAAGTGTGGGTTTGTGATGAAGCCAGTGAGAATCAGAGACGAGCCTTAAGAAAGATAGATTTCTTCTGGCAGCAGAGACCAGATCAACACTGAATCGCAATGTTCGATCCTCTGTTATGATCGAAGAAATATTGTTCTCATCAGAAGCCAACATTTTTTTTTTTTTTTAATTTTAGTTTAGAGAAGGAAGAAGTTTAGTGTAGAATAAGAGATGGGTGGTGGAGGAACATGAAAATGGAGTACAATTATGATTCCCTTTAGAGAGAGAGAGAGAGAGAAGAGAGAGAAACATGTAGGCGGACGGGAAAAAAGTAGAAACTAGTGTCTGAATATTGTAAAGGGAAAGAAGAAGAGTGAGAGATTTCTGATGTTTGACACATGCTGACTTTCGTCTCTCTTCCATTTGGTTGGTGGAATCGCGACTATAAAAACTGGGGTCCTACACATGCTTTCCATACTACTTGTTTTTCTTTTCTTTTTTTTATTAGAGCTTTCGATACTACTTGTGTGTATGAGATTGCAAAGAAAATATTGAGTGCTAAATATTAGCAAATGCATTTTTTTCAACACATAAGTCTTAAATGGTGATTTTGTAGGGACAATTTTCTAAAATAATTGCATTATATAAGATGTGTTTTTTGCTAATATCTATAACAAATACTCCATCCGTTCCAAATTAACTGTCGTTTTGGGTAATTTTTCTTGTTCCAAACTATCTGTCACTTTGTAATTTCAATGATACATTAATTACTATTTTTTCAATTTTGCCCTTATTACTATTTATTAATTGAGAGAGAATTAATGGTATCGACATTAATAACATGAATATTTTAGTCATTCTATATACGTTTCTCTAAAATCAACGCACATTTATTAGTTTTCTTAATATGTGCGCGGCATGAAGGGAGTAATGTTTTGAAGTAATTCGATATAACAAATGTTTACTAAATACAATAAACACATGCACTGTCTATCAATATATATTTCTTTAGCAGTCCACCAGTCATTCTTCTATCTTAAAAGTAACAATATTAAAGATTAGACAGTATGTAACAAAATTCTTAAATGATTGTGTACTATTACGAATTTTTAAATTAAAATGTTAAATCCTACACTACAATTATCGAATTATGCACACAACTTAAAATAAATTACCTCCCCGACATTAAAAATCTTTTTCTCTATGCTCCTTCCCTACTCCTTTTATTTTTCCCTCATTTTCCTACACAATCACAAACAAAACCGTCTCACACAAAATCCTAGGCTTATATTCTATCTTTAACTAATGTTTAATATTAATGAATTGTGAAAGGATTTGAGACTAGTTTCGAGTTTTTACGAAAAAGAAAACACAGCTATTCAAACCAACACTGTAGCCGATGATAATGGCTCGTTGTCCATAGTGGTCACCGATGTGGATGCATTGGTGTCCACAGATAGTCGTCGATAAGGATATGTTGCATTCAAAGTAGGCGCACGATGCCATGGGGAGCAACATCCATGGCAGCGCATTGAAGGTGTTGGAGTGTGGGGTGGGGTTTAGCTTAATAGGTTGGTACGCTACATGATCATCTCATATTTGGTAAACTAGAGCTATTACATACCTCCTCTTATCTATTCAATATCTATATCTATACTACTTATAAAAGTATAAATACGTAGATTTCTTTCTTTTTTTGTATGGATAGAAATATCATTTGTATATGTAAATTTGTAAAGATAATTTCGTTATATTCATTAATAAATTAATTAATACACAATGAATACTTGTCACGTTTATAGTCTTTATAATTAACAAACTTGATATATGTGGTAAAATCATCAATTATTTGGGACATTCTAGCGTGAGATCAGAGCAACACAATTCACATGAGATATGCCTCTAGAATCGCTCCATGTGCCTTTACACAAATATTTATATTAAAAATATAAACCACCCATCAAAAGTGCATATTATAGCATCTGAACTAGGACCCTTTAAAGCGCACACAAATGCTTAACATTGGACTACAAAAAAATATTGTAAATTAGCTAACAATAAAAAATGTTATTACAAATCTACAGTTTATAATGATAATAAAACTTATATAAATAATGTTAAAAATATACAAAATTGCAGATCAACTCGTGTAATTGAAAAAATGAATTTTGAAAGAATATGAAGTTTGAATCGAATCGTAAATTGTAAGATTTGAATGAATTAAGCTCATGTGGTTTCAATTCGAAACAATATTCAAAGATTTGAATCAATTAAGCTCATGTCATTTCAATTCGTAAACAATATTCAACGATTTGAATCGGTACGGTTAAGCTTAACAATTCACAAGAATGTATTAATAGGATTAACTATGTATAGCTAAAGTTTAGTATCTTTTTTGTTTATTGATTTTATCATAGAAAAAATAATAAAATTTAATTCAAAAAATCGTAAGAATCAAATCGTAAATCGTAAGATTTAATTGATTCAAATATTACGGTTGGGTTAAATCTTACGATTTACGATTTTATAAATTAAAATTATTTTTATCTTTTTATTTAAATTGAATTAAAAGGGTATTAGAGTTTAGTTATAAATAGTTAACTTAATTAATACGTTCTTGTCAATGGTTGAACTTAATCGATTCAAATCTTTGAATAATTTTTAAAAATTAAAAGGACTTGCGCTTAATTGATTCGAATTTTACGCTTTAATTAAATGTTATGGTTTGATTCTCAAGTATTTTAGGAATTAATATTTTTTTATTTTTTTAATAATTAAATTGAATAAAAAGTATATTACACTTTAATTAATAATAGTTAATTCGATTAAGATGTTATCGTCAATAGTTGAGCTTAATCGATTGAAATATTTGAACAATTTTTACGAATTGAAAGGATTTGAACTTAATCGGTTTAAATCTTACGCTTTAATAAAATCTACGATTTACGATTTGATTCTTACATATGTTAGGAATTAAATTTATTTTTTTATGATAAAATTGAATAAAAAAGATATTAGACTTTAATTGTAAATAGTTAATTCAATTAATACATTTTTTGTCATTAATTAAGCTTAATCGATTCAAATCTTTGAATAATGTTTACTAATTGAAATGATTTGACCTTAATTTATTCAAATCTTACTATTTGACTAAACTAAATATTAAAAGAAAAATCGCAATATAGTATTTTGAGTATATAGTTTTATTTTAAAGTAAGAAAACTAATTGGAATGAGTTATAATCTACCTTTTCTAAATGAACATATTATTTTATTTTTTATTCGAATTTATCACACTATCGATTTAATAACATAAGTGAGCTTGTATTAAGTTATGCATTTACTTATATTTCTTTGAGCCTTCTTTATATTTTTCAATAGTGGAGTTTAGAGCAACTCCAATGGGGAATATCAAAATAAAGCATTAAACATTCATTTGATGTTTGATATAATACTTTGATACTTTTTGGAAAAAAAATCACTCAAACCACATGTATCAAATGGATTATCAAATTTTAAATATATGAATAATTATATTTTTAAATGCCACGTATCAAATAGTGACAGGTTAATTGGGTGGTTATATTTTTGATACCTCATTTTCCAGAGAGTATTTTTGCACCTCGGGGTGGTTGAATATCAAAACAATTATCACTTTAATGCCTCAATTGGAGGAGGTTTTTTTTTAATTTTGGAGTATCAAATTGGTAGTTTTTTAGTTTGATACTTCATTTAGTGCCTCCGTTGGAGTTGCTCTTACTATTTTTACTATTATATAATGAATTAGTAATTCACCCGTGTGATCAATTTTTTTAAAATTAAGATTTAAGAACGCTAAGAATCATGTTAAAAACTTTTCCCCAATAACACATCGCCCCTGATATTATTATGGGCAAATTACCAAAACCCCCCTGAGGTAAGTCTGAATAACGGAAATTCCCCCCACGTTCTCGTAATTACGAAAACCCCCCTGAGGTATGCAGACATCTTACAAATCGCTCTAACGGTGTTAATCTCGATAGAATCTTTTTGATTCTCCCGAATATTCCTCCGATAATACCAATTTTGCCCTTGTACACAAAATTACCCTTAGGGGGTAATTGTAAGCATTTTATTTAATGAGGGGTCATAAATATGTACTCTTCATGAAATATATAAGTGTCTGCAAAATACTTATTTTTCTTAAATTAAACACAAATATAATCAATCATTATGAATGTACAATGTATTTTTATTGGATTAAAAAAAATCAATGGATGAGATTTCAAAATTTAATTATTTTTTATATATAAAATTAAATATTTTACAATTCGAGAAATACAACCATCATTCAAGCTAAAAGCATAAATCCGTATGAATACTCCTCTGGATAAATAAAATCAATTAAAATATATAAATAAAAAAAATAAAAAATTTATAATATCAAATTATCAATACAAATTACAAAGTAATAAATAAATTTATAAAAGCAATAAATCATCACAAGTGAGCCACCAAGACCAGGCCCATGGCCCATGGTGGTCCAAAAATAGGAGTCAACGGTTGACCAAACCTTGAGTCGTGTTCAAACCACGTTTTTAATGTAATTTTTTCAAACTGTAATTCTGTGAAGATTATTCATCCATCATCACAAATTGGTTGTATACTTCAGAAAGAAACTTCCCTACACCAATGTTTGTAGTACCGCGGATGCCGAGTATCGGTCACCGGCAAACAAGGCCGAGCCGCCACAACAGAGGCGGCGACCAGCCCCCGCCGCTACATTCCTCGACAGTCCACAATACCAACTAATCCAGGCGTCTTCGAACCACAACGTAAGAGCTTCAAGTAACTGAAAACCGGCTTCTTCCCAACAGGCACAAACTTCACCACCCAACCAATCGGCCACGTCACCGCCGCAATAGCGACACAAACACCCCACTCCGCAAAGCTCAGCCTCACGGTGTCGGCAAACTTCTTCAGAAGCTCCACCATCACCGCCTGCAGCACAACGGTCACCACATCGGCTTCTTTTAAAGCAGGGGCGTCGTTCGTTCCGTCGCCGGTGACCGCCACCACATTTTCAGCTTTTTTCTTTTATTTTCACATATTTAACAGAAGGATATAATAGACATTTCACGTTTTCGGTTAAAAAAAATCGGTCAACCCTTAGTCAAGGGGGGTTTTCGTAATTACGAGAACGTGGGGGGATTTTCGTTATTTAGACTTACCTCAGGGGGGTTTTGGTAATTTGCCCTATTATTATTAGCAAGAGTTGGCCCAAATAGAATAAAGCAAAGCCCAATCAAAGAAACCCTAATCTCTCTTCATTCACAACTATTTATACCCCTCCACCACAGCCACACTGTTATCCGAAAAATCCCCAACCCCTCACTTCAAAACAAGCTTCTTTTCATTCTATTGATTTTTGATGT